TCTGAAATGTAAACCTGAGTATGTCAATTCTGTACTTAAAACCCCTCAGGGCTCCCATCTCCTTTAGGTAAAATTCAGACCCTCCATATGTAGCCTTCTATGATGCTCTCTGCCAACTCCTCCTGCCTTCTCTCCTACTGCTTCCACCTGAGTCCACAGGAATCCACTAGAAGGTAAGCACTATGAGTTCAAGGACTATGTTTGCTTGTTCACTGAGGTATTTAAACCGAGTAGCTAGCACAGTGCCAGGCACTGTGTGTTGCTCCTTCTACCTGGACCTCTAGCTGTTCTCTATGACTGATCCATCTCCTCCTCCAGGAAGCCTTCCTGACCAAGGTGGGTCACTGTACTCCCCTCCAGGCCCCTTACTCTTCACTATAGCTCTTCACTACTGTCACATGGCACTGAATGGTTAGTCTTGCATCTCTCCAGAACTGGACTTTGTCTTTTATTTTCTGAATCCCAGCACACAGCAGGAGCTCCATACAATTTTGCTGGAACAAAGCATGAATACAAAGATGCGGTGTGATGCTATAGCACAAGCCCAAGGCAAGGAATGCAGAGATTTTTGTCCAAATTTTGGCCACTTGCTCATTATGTGGATTTGCATTGATCCAATAAGTCTTCCATACATCAGTCTCTCTATCTGTAAGATGAGGGTTCTAGTCCTTGCCTTAGCTTTCTCTCAAGGTTATTGAGAAGATCAAATGAGGTAATGCACACAAAAGTGCTTTGAGAACTATAAAAACTTTATACAAATGCTATGGGTTATTATGATTACATAACTGCTTTGGAACCTCAAGCTGAAGCCAAATTACATCTGGTAAAATTGGTTGGAAGAGAGTCAGGCCAACTGCATTGGAATTCCTGTAGCCACTGGGGCTTTGGGCCCTGTCCCTCCACTCTCGTTCCCAACTGTGCTCCACATCATTGTCCCATCCTGCAGCATGGAGGGTCCAGGGATGCTCTTTGGCTTTCTACACTTCAGTGCAGAAAACCAAACCAAACTCACTGCCATGGAGTCAGATCCAACTCACAGCAACCCCTCCTTGGGTTTCCGAGGCAGTATCACAATGGAAGTAGATTGCCCAGCCTTCCTGGGGACAGAGAAATAGCAGGAGTGGCTGCCTTTTATATGCAGATCTTGATGGTTTGATCTTGACAGTTAAATGGAAGGAAGGGAGAGGCAGGCACCTTATTCATGTGCCAGGCACTGTGCTTGATGACTTAACCATTTAACCCTCACAAGTGTGAATGTGGGTATTGCTGCTCTCATTGTTCAAGTAAGGAAACCAAGGGCCAGGGAAGTGAAGTGACGTGCCTAAGATCATGTAGATAGTATCAGGAGCCCTGGTGGTGCAGTGCTTAAGGTTGGTGGTTTGAACCCACCAGCCGCTCCATGGGGGAAAGATGTGGCAGTGTGCTTCCATAAAGATTACAGCCTTGGAAACCCTATGGGGGAGTTCTATTCTGTCCTCTAGGGTTGTTATGAGTTGGAATCGACTCAGTGGCAATGGGGTAAAGCCTCACTTGATCAGCTTCATGGAGGAGAGCTGGAACTAATACAAAGTTGAAAGCAAATGTAATTTTTCAAAGAACTGAACTTTATCATCACTATGGCATGTAGCAATGGAACCTGGCTTACAAACTTGTCCCCTGGAGGGATGCTCTCAGAGACCCACTGTAATGAACAGATAAAAGCTTTGTAAAGTTAGCAAATCTATTGTAAGGGGTTGAACACATCGAGGGTGACTTCTGGGCTGTGCCAATAGAGCTTTTCCTTGCGTTGTTGTAAGCTGCTGTCGAGTCAATTCTGACTCATGGAGACCTTATGTTTCAGAGTAGAATTGTTTCATAGGGTTTTCAATACTGTGACGTTTCAGAAGCAGATTGGCAAGCCTGTCTTCTGGGGTGCTTCTGGGTGGAATTAGAACCACCAACCTTTTGGCTAATAACCAAGTGTTTAACTGTTTGTGACACCCAGTGACT